TATATATATATATATATATATATGTATAAATTGATTGGCCCGTTTGTACAAATTGTAATATCATTATATTCCATTTCCATCAGTTCAGCACTTTCATTTTTCACGTGAACATTGCTAAATCCACGTTATAACAAATATTTGATTTCCAAAGCACTAACAAAAAAAATAGTGCTGCATTTAGTTTTACACTGGCATTTAATTCTTTATAAAATTGCTTTGAAAATATTAACTGTCTCTAAATTTTTAAAGGTTTTAATGGCGTAGAGATTTCATGTGTTTATTCTTCTGTTCTGGGTCAGCTGATCTCAAGTAGAGTTAATATTCGCACTGACGAGTTTGGCGGTGAAGTAGATAATCGTTCTAAGATTTTATTTGAAATTATCCAGGCTGTCAGGTAAGATTTTTTGATCTGAATGAGAAATATAAAAAGTATGTTACTTTTATTATTACGGAAAAATCAAAAAATTGTTTTTTTTTTTTGGAAAAAACTGAAATGAAAATTATTTTGGAAGTATTACCGAATACCAGTATCAGACTTTGATTAGCTAGTTTTGAATCAACAGTTTATTTAAAGGAAGAAAATTTACAAGCCGAGCAGTTTTGTAATTGGTTTAAAATTGTTCTGTGGTAATTTTGAGCCAGATTTCAATGATGAAATGTTTGGTGAATTTATCCACAATGTTGAGGTATTCATGAATTTCTACGTTTTCTTATTCTGTTTTAGTGTACTGAAAAAGTTCACTAGTTTTCATAAATAATATTTTCAAAGAGTGTGATATGCAGAAATTAAGTGTTTCTAAAAACTGAATTCAACCATCTTTGAAGCATTTTATCAAGCAGATATTATGTGCTTCTCTGGATACCAGTGTTTAAATGTTTCCATTCAGAAATAGATGATAGCTTTAATATTATATAATTACTCGTAATAAGATCGCTACAAAACTACCAAGTAACTTCTAAAAACAATAAACCTGAAATTTTTAATAAGTCGTAATGCTTGCAGAATTAATAGCAGTGTATTAAATTTCATAACTGTAAGCGTACAAGAGTTTCTGAATCAAGGCTATTAAGTTTTTTTCTGATATTATTTTGCAATTATGATTATATAATGAAGAATGAAATCAAGGAGTTCGAAATTTTCGTTCAACTGCAAAATTATTTTGACCAGCGCATAAAAGATGGCTGTAGAAACTGATAGAATGACTAAAAAAAGGAACAAACCAGTGGTATAAGTATGGTTCTTATTAGCACCAAATTTTCAGACTAACTTAGGAATTAATTAAATTGATGTAATTCATTGCAATGACTTAAGAATCAATTTGAAAAAATTGCTGTACTAAGTTGAAAATTTATGATTTATAACGTCCGTACACCAAATGCAGTTTGTTTTCTACACACTGACATGATGGGCCTAATAATTTGCTTAATAATCATTCAACTGTGTCATGCTCAATGCAAAGCATATCCAATCGCAGAGATTATCCTCTTATGAAAATATTTTAGAGCATATTACAGCAGAAAATAGAATTGTTGACTGTTTACCACAAATAATAAATATAATAAATTTCCGTTGTTTTTGATTATCAAAAACAATTTATTTAAAAGTATATAAAAGCTGTTTAAAGAACTATTGCACAGAAAACCTCTATGCAAATTTTCAAGCAAAAAGTTTTCATTTGTATCTTGCAGAAGACTGGTTTTGATTATATCACTATAACAGGCGGACACTATAATTTAATCAAAGATCTGAAGCGTTCGGATGATCCAAACACATGTGAATATTTCTACCAGAAGTTCGTTCTTAATGTGAGTTATCTCGCACTTTACTTTCTGCTTCTCATTCTCAGTATGTGCAAGATTTTCGAGATTTCCTCATGCAAAAGTCCTATAACGAATGAGATAAGTAGTAATCTGCATTTTTCATGTTGAACAACTCCTATGTTGATTACTACCTTCTTTACACTGATGAATTGTGCTGTGGCCAAGTAGTACTCATTCTAGATGAAACGTCACTTAACAAGGACAAAATTATTTATGAACGGTGGATTTGTATTTCTGCCAGAGATGGTTGCGACCGTTCGTAATGGATGGGCGGCAGGAATTTCCCTTGCAAGACCTGTAGCTGCTGAACCAGGTCTAATCACTAATGCAAACTGTTTTCAGCAAATTCTTTACAGTAAATAGGAAAGTTATTAACAGCAACATAATAAGCTATATCCTACTTATAGTACTAAATACATATTCGTTAAAAATTTGAATTTATTAGTCGTTCTCGGCAGCTTTCATTTCAAATTAGCAAGTAAGCAAACAAACATTTGGCAAATTTTGTAAAGCCAACCGCACAATAAGGTACAGTCAGTCATTACTGTTCTAAAAAATAAGGTTTTGGAAAAAATATTATTTCAAATTATATTTTATTTCATTAAACATTAATTACTGAGGCTACAGATTTACCAAAGAAAATGTTCGCGAAAGAAGTGAAAGGTGCGGTAAAATCGCTCTTCGACCCATTAGATTTTTCTATTGCGTATGTTTTTTTCATCAGTTACTTAATTCGAAGAATAAAAACATAGGTAGATTAATGTGAAACTTGGCGAATTTAGAGAATCACCAATTCAATGTGTGGTATATATGACGGGTAATAAAATACTGCTGTTTATGGCTGCATTTACGCTTTTTTTCTTTCAAAAAAACGCTTTACGTCTGCTCAGAAAGGAGTTTGCCATTAGTGTGCTGCAAGAGGACAAATTATGCAGCTATAACAAAGTGATAAATAGTGAAGTGAGAACGCATTAGTAGTATTTTATACTATGTCCCTTTTCTTTTTCAGACAGCAGTTTGCCGGAACACAACTCTGGCAACATGCAAACTTGTTAACTGTGATGGATGCATCAAATGCTCATCACGTAGAAATATTCAAAGCTGATTTGGATTTCCATCAGAAGCAAAAATCAGCTGCTGCTGCTTCTGGTGATGTAATCATTGGTTATCCAAAGACTATTATACACACGGAACCATTAGATGAACAAATGCTCAGAAAATTGCAACAACAAGTGTTAGGAACAGCAAGCTCATTGCAAGGTGCTGCAAATGAGCAAGAAAAAGCAGCAGAAACAGATGCAAAAACAATCGATAACGATCGAGTAAAGGAAGATGTAATATATCAAGTAACAAAGAAACAGCTGGAAAATATAGATTCTGCTAACACTATTGATGATACACTGCATTCTGTAGCAATGAAGGAACATGAAAAAATGGGTGGTGATGACGCTACTACTACGACTGACGTGGAAATCATTGAAACATGCATTGAAATGAAGGGACATAAAAAAGGGGGTCATGGTGACGCTACTGCAACAACGGACGTGGAAATCATTGAAAAATGCATTGAAATGAAGGGACATGAAAAAGAAGGTGATGATGACGCTACTGCTACGACTGACGTGGAAATCACTGAAGAATGCATTGAAAAAGTGAGCCAAAGTCAGTCTGATTCCTCTCAGCAACCACAACAAACGGGACAGTCACTGCAAGAATCACAATTGGAGTGTGGCACAGTCAATGTTAAAGATAAAAGTGATCATGATGATGGTATTATTTTGAGTGCGAATAGGCAGCAAGAGCTGGATGCAGTTGTTGATGATGCTAAGAGCGAATTAGAATCTGTATTTGAAAGGAGTGCTAAGATGGTAGATCAAGTGGTGGAGGCTGCAGCTGAAAAATTGCGTACGAATGATGAATCGATTTCGGTTACACAACCATCTGAAACAAAAGTAATACCAGAAACGAAAACAATTCAAAAAGTACTAGATGCGACTCAAGGAACAGAAACGAATCAAGAAACAGAACCATTTCTGGTAAAGGAAACCCAGGAAACGCAAACAGCTCAGGGAACCAATACAGAAGCAGCTCAACAAACAGAAGCAGCTCAAAAGATGGAGCCGTCTCAGCTAGATGTATTAGAAATGGAGACAGTTGATTGGACCAAAACAAGTCAAGAAACAGAAGCTCAAGAAATCGGAGTAGTTCAAGAAGCAAAAGCGTCTGAAGGAGATAAAGTAGAAGAGGACGTAGTTAGACAACGAGAAGCTCAAGGAATAGAACTGTCCCAGTCAGAAGTACAAGACATTGAGGCAGCTCTAGAAGCCAACACGGCTGTAAGAACAGAAGTAGCTCAAAATACAGGCCAGTCAGAAACAGAAATACAAGAAACGGAAACAACACATAAGAGCGAAGCATTTCAAAAAGGAAAAGAAATTCAAGAAACAAAACTGCTTCAAGTAGACAAAATACAAGAAATGGAAGCAATTAAGCAAACAGGAGAACTTCAAGATACAGATTCATTTCAAGTAAACGATGTCTTAAAAATCAAAGCAATGGAAGTAGAAACAACTCAGCAAACAGGACTAGTTCAAGAAACAAGACTATGTGAAAGAGAAGACACACGAACACCAGATGCAACTCAAAACGTCAAAACACTTCAAAAAATAGAACCGTCTCAAGTAGAAGCTAAAGAAATCATAAAAGATCACGAAAAAGAAATGAAAGAAGAAACGGAAGCGGTTGGAATCGAAAATGTAGATGTAGAGACAGAAAAATCGAAACCTATGGGAAGAATAGAAGTCATATCTGGATTATCTGAAAATTACAAACCAATTATTTCAGGAGTAGTTGAAGAACTTGGCGAGAGTGCAGAAATCGTTCATGTTGATACAGTGAATTCAGTGGAAGATAACACAAGATCAGAAAATGTACAAAGACCAGAATTTTCCGTCCACAAAATGCATGAAGATTCTACTACTGAAGGCCAGGATTTGAATACTGGTGATGAAATTGTTGAAGAAGCCATGCAACAAGAAAAATACGGTGATTTTGTGACATCCATGCAAACACAACCTCCAGAAGCATCAATGACATCTCAAAGTGAATTGTCGTCAGAAAAAAGCGATGAACAATATACAGATGCCCCAGAATTTCGTGAAACTGAAGAACATGAAGTAGATAAAAACTATCATGCCCAAGATTTTTCAAATATTGCAGAAATAAAGAATGGTAAAAATGTTATAAAAGCAGAGATTCCAGCAATCAATATGAAAACTGAAATCTCAGAAAGCATAGCCCAAATTAAAATTTCGAAAAATGTAGAAAATAACGGGGTTGTAGATGGAACAAAAACACAATTTACAGATAATGAAATGAAAGCTGAAAACATTTCAAAAATGGATGTTTTAAAAAGTGATATATCAGAAAGTGAAAAACCAGAAAATGTAAGAAAATCTCACATTGCAGTAATGGCTGAAATTTTGGATGTTACAGAATCACATATTTCGGACACAGCTATAGTAGAACAATGCGCAAAAAGAGATAGAAATTCAGAAAGCTCAGACGAGCACATTTTGGGAACCAATCATGAAGCTGCGGAAGATCAAATCAATGACTGTGATAAAAACGTAAGTAAAAATGAACCATTTTCGGAACAAATCGTACTGGTCGACTTGCCAGAAAATACTTTGAATAACAGTGCCAATGAAAAATATAATGAGAAGTTTTCTGGAGAATTCTCATTACAAGATGATATAACATGCAGAAAATTGATGCCAAATGGAGAGAATCAGTCCAAATCAACATCACCAACTTATTCTACATTATTTGGTTCATCGTTTCTTGGTGAAAAGGGTACAACGAATATAATTTATGAAGAATACCATGATAAGAATTCGATTCTCGAACACTTACCAGAAGAAATACTTCAGAGTGATGTTTCTCATGATATTCCCAAAAATGAAGCAAATAACAAGGAAGATATGAACGACGTAAAGAGCGAAGAGGCTTGCGAAGATATAGCCCAAAAGGTTCAATCTCAGCAGTCTGTTACAGATAATCAGATATTGAGTGAAAGAAGTCAAAGTCATGGACTAGCTAACTTCATTTCATCGACGTTACCGGATTCTGTGCAGAACTTGTTTTCATCTACTAAGGAAAAATTTGATGAGATGTTCATTGAAGGTGACAGTACTGACAAGGAGGTAATTAATATACACTGTACTGTAAAAACAGGAAAAGTTACAGATGGTGATGAACGTAAGCATAAGGCGCATGCAGAAAGTCACACTGCTGCTGACCTTGAATACGGTTTATCTTCACAGTTTAGCGATAAAGAAACACTTGTGGTGGATAATTCAGTCAAGATGGAAATGTTCGATGATCATGTAATAGCTGGATCCACTGATGCGCATATCTCTTCTGAAACCCCCGTGATGCTAGAAACAACGACGGGCAACGGGGAGAGTGTGTACAAGAAACATCAAACAGGACTATTCGAGGACACAAGAAGCACGGAAGATTTTGATTTCGAATTCATTCATTAAAGCTAGATTTCATATCTGAATTTTTTTTATAAACATACTTTCTGATCACAACAATGGCAGCGAAAATTCCTTTTTAAGAAATGAAATCGGTATAAAATGAAAAACAAATACTGAAAAATTTTCAAGCTGGGTCAGTGAATAAATTATAGATAAAGAAATAGCTGAATAATTAAATGAATGATGCATAACTATATCTTAATTCGTTCTTCGGACTGATAATAGATGATGCTTTTGGAAGTACGTCGAAATAGTAATAAATAATAATTGTTGACTAAATCGTAAAGTAACCTAGTTAGGAGTACAAAATTAACGGAGATATCGTTTTTATGAATGAGAAAATATTAAGCAGATTATATATAAATAAGTGCTGTTAGAAGACTATTACAGAAAAATTTTCATAGTCGATCTCATTGTTGTTAACATTCCATATAATTTAGCTAGCTCTTGATCCCAACTTTCAAAACAATTACTTTATCCCATCGTCAAGTTAGCATAGACCGAAAAACATAAAGCGCACAATGAAGAGTAAGAAATAACAAATGAAGAGTAAGAAATAACAAATACATTTTAAAAAGGGAAACTTCGGAATGATATATGCTTTTTGTAAGAGTTTTATATTTTGAAGTGATGTCGACAATGATAGGCATTATTTTATCTTTTTCATTGCTTATACTCTATGAAATTTAAAGACGAAACTCAGGCAATGAAATAAACTACTTTAGCAGCAAAAATATGATAATGAAGAGATATGTACAGTAAGATTAGTATTTGCTGATTCCAAAAAAAGACAGCTTCATTTCATTTCAGTTTTGTGAATCTTATCTTTTTAGTTTCTAAGCTTTATTCACTTTTGTGATAAGTACAAAGAATTTTTCTTGTGTACTTGACACAAAAGTCTATTAACCACAACAGTTCCAAGTTAATAAACATAATGTCGTAAAGATTAGAAGTCTTCTATTCATTCTCCTTCAATGTTAATCAAGTATAACTATGCTTCGTTTCCATGTTTTCATCATTTTAATCACAGAATCGAAGTAAGCAAACAAAATATGAGTTCCAGTCGCCTACTTATCAAAAACTGATTTGTAAGATATTCATTTCACCTACCTATCTAACACTCTATTAAAACGTTGCTTTTTCTGCAAAAACTGTGTAACATAAATTATACAGAGTGTGCAGAAAATGAAATCTCTACCTTTAATAGGCACTTTGCAGCCAATTTGATTCACAAATAAGCTGCAAAGCCATGCTATTCTCTAACTCTTTAAATTAAAAGCTATATCCTAAGCCAGATTACTTTTTATTTTCCTAGTATTAGAATGATCAGAAATTAAAAGAAAAAAAAATTATTATGAATCAGCACGTGAAAGCTGTACACAACAAAAGCGTTTGCTTCGTAAAAAACTGATAAATCTCAACCAATGTTAATTTTTCGAAATAAAATATGCTGTGTTTTCATTTTAACTTATTTATCATTTTTGCAGCCCTGCATAATTTAAAAGTCATACGTCACTTTTCTTAGTATCATCTGATATTAAATTAATTGCTATTTCAAATATGCATTAATTTTGCTTTCCCGAAAATTGACTTTACTTGTAACTTAATCATTTCACATGCTTACCTGGCAACAAAAAGAAGGACAAAAAGTTTAAAGGATCACTCAAGTATTCAGAAATAATCAATAACTAGCTTAAAGTTGGGTGACAAGTTTCTTCTGGTTTCTAGAATTAGACTGAACCAAGTAATCGATTTTGCGAGAAAAAATTTTTAAAAAATGTAGAAATTTATCGGTACTGGTAAATTTTTACACGCTTTTTTCCAATTTGACATAATTACTTTATGCTTAGAAACTGCATCTTTGCATCAAAAAATAATAATTTCCAGAGGATAGGTTCAAGGATGTTAATACCATATTATAATTTTTACATAATCATTCTGTTTCTTATTAGCAAATACCGAAGTTGACCAGCACATTTTGCAAAAAAGGAAAATTTGTACATAGAATGAATTTCTATTTGAACTGAAAGCAAAACTTTAAAAATATGCAGATTTCTATTTTCTTAAAAAAAGTAGAAAATCCTCAAGCACTTGTTTGTAATTATAAGAATAATAATAAGGAAAATTCACGCGGGAAATAATAACCAAAATGATAATCAGTACTAACATCTCACGTACTAGAAAAAATTCTATTACTCAATAGAAGTTCAAAATCTTTGTATACGATGATTCCTGTCATGTTTTACTTTCAATAAATTAAGGTTTCTAATAGAGAAGTGGACATGATATCAATCATTATGTATGTAATAGCCTGTACTGAAAATGTGTGTATATTTTCTACATCATCCGTTCTAAACAACTAAATCCTTTCCAAAGTTGCGGTTATGAATATCATCAGTTCTTGATGTCAAACTGCTTGCTTTTCTTTAATTCTTTTAAAAGACATGCTTTGTTCCTAAATGTCACAACAAAACTCTTTGTCTCTACTGTCTCCAAATGACAATTGTCAAATCTATTTCAATGCTTTCGTGTGGAATTTTGTGAAGAATCTAATAAATAATGCTTGAAATAACATTGATGACTAGTACTTACGTGTACCAATTATAACACAAACATATCCAATATCTGACACAGTTCTCACTAGTTATGTAATAGACGGTTCTAATTATTATTATTTGCAACTGACTTAGTAAACACAGCACTACCAATGCAGCAGTAGTAAACTATTATTGTACTCAAGAATACTAACAAAAAATAATACAAAAGACAAAAGAAGCACACATAGCGCACTTTTGTGCCATTTTTCATGACCCATAGTCTCTTCACAACAAGCTAAATGCAGTCAATTAAAATTACGACTACTCTTTGGCTCTGCTGATAATATCTAATAATAAAAATAATTTATAAGTTCATTTGATTACTGCTCATGCGTTAAATTACACCACAGTAAACTAGTCTCTGTGCACTGCATTAATACAACTGTTTTCTTGTAGTGGTAAAATATACAATGATTGAATTAAAATCTGAGATGGACATAACAGAAAATATGATGAAGATAAAATTTTGATTGAAAATCCGAGCAATTTACAAAACTAACAATTGATAGTTCAAGATTATCCCAATAATGCTAACAGAAGTTTGCTGAGCGAATTAAAATTTTCAATCAGTGTTACCAAAACAGTAAAATTGAAATGTTTCGGATTAGTTTGCGAAAATCTCTTGCACCAAGAATGATGTCGATATCTATAATGAACAACTGCACTCCATACCAATCGCATTCCATATGGGAATAGAATGTGAACACTTAGAAATTCCTTATATATACTTGAAAACCATTTTTTAAACCTCAAAAGTAAATGTAATTGGAGTCAGAAAACCAATAAATGAAGCATAAAATCAAAAGTTTTCAAAACACTGTGCCTTTATGAAATGACTTAATAGTATTTGTTTTAAGTTTTTCATTTATTCTAACAAATTCTGTAATTTCATCAAATATTCACATCAACTATGTGCTACTGAAGATTGCTTCATTATAATTCTTTATATATCAATCACACATTTTCAGAACTGTGCACAAAACTATTGCAAATATTTCTTTATTACTTACATCATCTTGCCATATAACAAAGGTAGTTTTATCACCAATGAAAAATTATGAGTCCATTAAGAGTGAGTATTTATCTGAATAAAATACATAATTTTTGTTTTCTTGCCATGATTTTCATTTGTGGAACTTGTAGACAGTGTTGCAATTTTTCACATTACCCGACATTAATTTCACCGAGTTTACCAATCATACGAAACATATGCCAAAGACACTCCAAATCGAGACAGCATTACAGTAACATAAAACAAACCAAGTTAAAATTAATTTTTTGTATAATTCGTGCATTTGAAGATGTAAAACATTCAATCATTAATAATTTAAAAAAAGTAATAAAGGATGACACCAGAATGAATAAAAAGTTGTAAAGTTCATCAATTTATTTGTTCAATCTTGACCATATGTTTTGCGATATTTTGCTGGAAAAGTATTATCAAGCAATGCTAGTACTAGTTTCTCAGGATTATGCCACGTTTTAAACTTGAAAGTATGGGCAAAAAGAGAACAAGACCTCGCTAAAAAAAATAATAATAATATAGGCATAATGACTGCATAAATATTGATACCCATAAGTAAAATGCATATTTATCAGTTATTGCAACCACCTTTTGCTTCGAAATCAAAAGCTAAAAATAAATATACAAGAAAATTATAATAAAATGTCAAATTATTCCATTCTCACCTTTTTCTAAACATAACAAGGCTTTGAAACGTTTGAACTATAATAATATATCATATCAATACTATCTGCTTACTTCCGCTAATTCGATGCACTGCTGCAAATGCGCTCTATGATAATTAAAAGGCCAACGCTGACAAATTTTCGGCTTTGCTTCTAGTTCACAGTGATAATCGATATAAAATATTTAATTTTTTTAAAATTACCATATACAACGAATAATAGGACATACGCTATTATTATTATTTAAACCAAACTACTAAAATACAGTGCTCAGTACGTGTCAAAAAAAATAATGGCCAAATCCATAACTGTCGCAAATTGCGATCTTCAGCTATTATGTTTTGCTAACTGACTTACTCTAATTTTGAATTCTGTGATTTGTGAAATACTCCCAACTAACTTTGGCCTAACTCAAGTCGATTACTTTTCAATCAAGTAAAAGGTGATGGTTGGTTAAATTAAAAACAAGCAGTGAATAACACGCTTATCTTCTAAATTTATACGAGAGCTGTAGCAATTTCATTCAAAAGCACTAAAAACAGTTGGCAATGTTGCATATGTAAGCTTGTCTTCAAGTTAAAGTGTACTTGCAAAGCACGAGGATGCATAATTTATAAAAATGATAGCGGATCCGATTAACTGACCACAGAAATTCATTCGGCATGACAAACCTTCATTAAATATCAATATCCATTCCAAGAATGCACTCGGTTGTAGAAATAACAAGATTAGTACAAATCCGAGCAGTTATCGATCCCATTTTTAGTGAACTTTTCTTGTAATAAATAACATTCAAAATTGAGAACACACTAAATGGAGCGATTGCTCACAGCGACAAAGCATGATGACTGACCATATTGAAATGAATGAATGTACAAGAATATCTGAGAGAAACTGTCTTGATGTCATCAGTATATCATGCATTTCTTTGTAATCAAAAATGAGAAATACGCGACGGTAGTACAGAGATCAAGAGATGTACCAAAACCTTGTCTATACAGTCAGCCATCCATCAAAAGTACTTGCTAATGTAAATGAATGCTGGCTTCGAGTTCAGATGTTTTGCAGTCAGGGATTAATCACAAACAAAGATCATTTGAAGGAGGAGAGACAGGAAAGGAGTTGAAAATGAAAAAAGTATAGGTATTTTAAGAGAGTGAAACATTACTGAAATAATGCCTAGCACAAGAACGAGGTAAGCAAATTTGGTTCACTGAATGTAATTTAGAAAGGATACGGGAGACAACTATGTGCTCATAGACAGAATAGGGCAGAGAAAAAGAAATACTTTCACCAACGTTCATTCAGTGAACAAATAAAATACATCACCATTCATCATTGTTGAATATATTCGCATTTTCGCATCCTGTCCCATGGACCTATCCACTTATCATTTACGCAGTTCTTTGTATAATTATATGTGTTATACCATCTGTTCGTTTTTAATTATGTGCTTCAAGCTATTTCTCGTTTTCAAGAGCTTTAATAAAGCTATATTTCATTCACTGGTAAATAACGAACCAGTTTGTCCAACATCACATCACTTCTTTCTGAGGCGCTTAAATTATATTTAGATATATATCCTTACGATGTTCACTTCATTAACTTGTATTACAGTATGAAATCATGGGCAGTGTTATTGGGCAAAGGGACTGGTTCATATTTGCTAGTTACTGCAGTATCTAGACGTATATCTACTGGATGCAGTAATTTGTGGTCTAAATACAATTCAAAAGTGTTTCGTGAACCAGTTGTTAGTTTGGAGCAGGTCTATTTTGATATGAATTGCTGACTTTATTACTTACCGAAAGAAATAAGATGCTTGTGCGTGTGCATTTTTATTCAAAAATCTCTGGTTCCTTTTCTATTATATATCTTCAATTTAGATATTCCCAGGGTTTTGAAATATATACCAGAGCGCAAGAAAAATGACGCAGACTATGCAAGTAATCGGTGGAAACAATTTAGAAAAAGTTGATTGATATATTCCTTTTCAGTTATACCAACCGCTTGATCCAAAAGATGATCGTCGATATTGCTATTTGAAGGCAATGACTAGTGCTCAAACACCAGTTTTTTATAGGAATGCAATCATTGATAGGCTAATCAATGTGTGTATGTTACGAGGAATGAAAGGTCCATCAAAACATAACTGTTTCACAATAGTTACAACCGTGAATTGATAGCACCATCAATTTTATGAATATGTTATAACAGATATATGTGTATCCTAACATATTCATCTTCATTATTGTGTATATATAATAAATTATTTTTAATACTCAGGCGGACTTGACTTGATTTGGGCACAGTAATTTTTATTCTGTTTTCGAATGAGTAATGACACAGTCAATTTAATGAAGGTTTTGTGAGGTATGTTGTTTCTGTGGGAAAAATTGGTAGTAAAGAGATTGAAAAAAGAAAAAGAGTGAAGTGAATGTATCTCAAACAGCACACCCAATGATTTTATAGAAAAGATGCGGACAATAATTTTGGAAGCATTGGAAATTGTAAAAAGACGTCAGCATAGGTTGTGGATGAATACGAGTGCAGAAGATCGGAGTAAAATAGAACTTGATCCGACGGTGATTACTGAAATAGCTATCAAGAATTGTTCTCCTGTTATGATTCTACGCCCATTCATTCGAGGATAGTTGTTTTAATTCAGTTTTTTTAGGTGATCTTTGGCGTTAAAAAGCATGTATGTCTTCATATTATGTTATTTAGCATAGAAGTAAAGTTTTTAAGAAGTTTACAACTTTTAGTACAAATTTATTCGGAAAATTCGCACGCATTCAGAAATATTGAAGGAAATGTTCTCAATTAAATTATGTATTTATGAATAAAGTTTAGCTTTCACTATAACTGGATGACAAATCAAGTATTCGATATCTACAAATCAGTAGTAAGATAATAAGAAGTTTTGTTATATCATTCACTCTACGAAACTTTTATATCTTGCTAAACATATGTGTTTAAGAGTGATGTAGCGAATCTCCGAAGGTATTCGTCCTAATCAGATAACTGACTTTTATCCAGTCAAGTGAATGCTGGATTTGATTCATGAATACACTTTTTGTTGATTAGTAAAGTTAGCTTTGCATATTCTTTAGGTGGGCAAACTTATATGGTGCCGTGTCCGCTGTCACAGCATCACGCAGAGTTTCGAGCAATGAAAACAATGCGAGATATTTGTCGTCAAAAAACTTTTCATGGTGCGACTCATTTTGAATTCATACTGGCAGACGAGTTGCTTGCTGCATACAGAAACGAAGGTTTAACAGTTCAGGCAAAGCAAGAGTTACATAAACATTGTGAAGCTAATCGAGCTTATGTTCATTATAGAAGACAATAAAATGTAGGAGATAATGATTGCACAATATTTTGCTTTGTTTACAAAATGTTTGAGCCGAATGTGTAAAATTTTAGCGTTGGAAGCAAATGTTTGCCAATTTTTTAAACCTAGCTGTGATTGCCTTCAGTCATAAATAATTGCAAAACACTGACACATATTTTCTTAGAGTTTGTGTTTTGGGGATCTATACATTTCAAGATTATCTGTCATACGTAGTGTTATAAGATTTGAAGATTTTCTTTGTAGTGAAATTTATGTTTAATAAATCTAAGATTTTGTTCGTAAACTGTGAGGGGAAATCCTGGAAAAGTCCATGTAGTTACCTGTAACACATTATTTGAAATTGCCGTTTGGTACTGGTTGATGATTTTATATTATCTTGAATACAAACAGCAACGACATGTAATGATCTGTGGTAAATTTATGAGATTTCAATGTGATAGCTTGCGTTAGCAAGTAAGCTTTTTTCTAGAAATGCCTTCTATATTTTATGAAATGCAATGATTAGATGTTATTGAGCATTACGATTTCGTGATACTAAAGTTGAAATCCGGGTCAAGTCTTGTTTCTTCACATTTCTCCCAGCTACTTGAAACTTGTCACGCTGCTTGTATGATTCCTGGGAGATGACTGATGTCGCTTACATTTTATTGAAAGGTCTGCATGATTATCTGTGTCAGGTTCTAAAAACTATGGAGTTTGTATGTGTGTGTTTATCATACTTTATAATTTGTTTACGTATTCGCAAATATCGTTTAAATCTGTGCAACTGGTAGTTATTTAATTTTGTTACGATCAGACCGTGTTTTTTTGCCTATAAATAGTATCCTTAATTTTTATAAGAAAGTAATGTGTAAATATATGAACTTTTGAGCATTTTATTTCTCATCTTGATCATTTGATATTAGTACTTGTATTGGCATAATTTAAGTCGTCATTCGCACTATTTAGTATGCTACCGAAGTTTTTTCTTCTGGTTTAAGTGGATATCATATTTGTTTTATTTCTAAAGTTACAGGTTCGTTAAGTGTTGCAATGCTGCCCTCGAACTGATTTATGGAATGATGGCAACATGTGTATTATTGAGCGATTTCGAGCATCAGTATTCACTGCAGACTGCTGAAATCACTGCACGTATTGGACGATTGAGTGACCTAGATAAGAATGCCCGGATTGATGGAATTTGTCAAATTCAACGTTTATTGGTGGACGTTGAGATTTTGTTGGGCCAGATGGAGTTAACTGTCAGGGAATTGGAACCCTCAACGTATTATTTACTAGTACTCAGTACTTTTGTTGCAAAAAAATACATTTTCTTGATCATGATATGTGTCTTACGTTTTCTTCATTATTATTTGGAGTTTAGATAAAAATGCCGACTGAATTCTTGTGACTTTACGAGATTCATAGTTTGAAGTCGAAGGAATCTTTATCATCACAAGTTTTTCGAATATGCATTTAGAACATATGAAAGTTACAGTGCTGAGCGATCAAAATATGAGTTAAGAGTTCGTAGTTATCAAAGTGATAAGAAGCAGTTAGACGCTGAACTAGACAAAACAATTCAGCGTCTAAAAGAAAATGCAGATCGCGATGAATTACTGACATACGATAATGAAATCTCGCTTAATCAAGTTAGCACTTGACATATCTGAATTATTATTGGCTTTAATTATTATTGTTCTCTTGAATACTTCTGCTTACATCTCTTCGTGAGTTTTTGAAATGAAATCATTTTCCATATTTGCGAATAAAATTGGCTTGAATAGAAATAAGTTCTGTTTCTTAATGAATGACCAACTGTATATGGTGTTGTCTTTCAAGCAGGACCATTTAATTGAAAGTACCGAAAGATTGGAAAGGACGTCCCGAAGACTTCAGGATACTTATAGAATGGTAATTGAAACGGAACAGGTACTTATTTTGTGGTTTGTGTATGCAGTCATTTTGAGTGTTAAAATGAAAAATTTTTCAAGTAAATAAAATTTTATAGTTTTCTAATTCAAGAAATTTAAACTTGGAATTCTAACAATGCATTAGGGTATTAAATGATTAAAGTTTGCAGATTGGAGCAGAAGTTTTGGATGACTTGAATTCTCAACGTGAAACAATAACGCGGGCACGTGAACGTATGCGACAAACAGATACAGATTTAAACAAAAGTCATAAAATCCTATCCTTGATGATTCGCAGGTAACATTTTTCACTACCTGAGTTTTTTAATGACGTTTTCTATTTTAGTACTTAATTGCCATTATTTCAGAATAATCCAGAATCGCTTGCTGTTGCTCGTTATTGCAATATTACTGCTATGTTTATCACTATTTATCATCTATAAGTCGTTATAATTTGCTATCCATGGACGTGGATTGCGATTGAAATACTTGATATATCAGTTATTTCACTAACTTGCTTGCCTTGAGTTGTTTTTCCGAACATCAAATTGTTTGTAAACGAAGAAATGAAATTCAGGAACGAATAATTATGCTTGTTATCATCTCGTATACGTTTTCGTGTTTTTCACAGTTTAAAAAAATTAAAGCTTAGGACTAAACTGGGGCAATCAAATGCATATTCCACAATTTTAATATCTTATTCTTCTCATAACTTTGTTTTCTACTGAGAATTTGTAAAATATTTTTTTTTGTCTGGAGTTAGTTTTGCTTTATAAATACTTTCATGATTACTTTCACTTTGATAAAATGATAAAATTGATCCTCTGTGTAATCTATAAGTTCTAGTGCGGCGGAAATATACCACTGCTTACTTTTAAAGCTAACAAAGTTAATATCTTAGGGTTTTCGGGATTCTTTTCAAATTATCAGTACAGATTGTGAAATATGTCAGAGATCACTGTTGGTTAAATTTTTCTAATACTTTGAAAGATGATGAGGTTATCAAAGTGATTTTATGAATGGAAAAATCTGGTTCTTATTGTTAGAATCTTCTAGACATCCATTTCGATATGGAGTATCCATTTATTTCGATATATTTTATTTCGCATTTTCGATATCCACTGTTTGAAAGTTGTCTTCTGCAGAAGATTGTGGCTTCGTTTAATATAATGCCGCCGAAGGAAAATGTAGTTTAACGCAGCAAAAAATGGCTGAGACATTTTTGGAGTATTAATCATTCTTTGAATACGGAAGCTATCTTTTTTTTGTTCCTGTCAGTCCATGACAGCTATCTGTATTCATTGTCAATTATCCGAATATTGTTCAACAAAGATTTGACTTTTCCTGGCCCAGCTAGGATTTTTCTTACCATCAGTTATTTGCTGTCATTAGTTCCCAGGAATGAGGCTATTGCTAGTATGTCAGGGGAATGAACGACAGTTATTAATCAGTAAACATTGCAGTCGTTTACATGAATCTAGTCCTAATAGTATATTTCCAGCACATAGTTCTTGGGCAAGTTAGTGGTCTGCTGTCAGTAATTTAGGTTAAATTTACTTTAAAATTTTCATCAAAACACGTCTAATGTGGAAAAAAGAGTATGTCTTTTCTCTCTGCCAGTAGAACACTTAAAACTTCTGAAAGAATTAGTCACAATCAAAAGACATACAATATTTTGCATGTGGGCTGAACGAAGAGAATGTTTCAGCGAAGTTTTGATCGCAATATGATGTTCCATGTTACAATATTTCTTTCTAAATTTCTACTGAGCAGCAGGCTAACTAATTTTAATGCAGTACATTTTATGACGAAAATTGCTGAGCAGAAGTCATTTTTCTCCTAATGCGAGCAGTAAAATTATCAACGATTTGCCGTTTACGTCCGACAACCTCTGATTCACGTTATTATCCTCAATAATACACCTAGTGTTAATCTCCATCCACTTCCCCTCTTTCCCTCCCTCCATTCCCTCTTCACCCCCCAACCACCTCACCTTAGACGTCTTTTTACATAGTCCTTGACTAACTTGTTTGAAACACATTCAGTTTCATATCGTCTCCAAACTTTTGCGGTTTCTGGTGACTGTGACATTTTTGTCGACTTTGTGGATTATTTTAGTGTTCAGTGTTGAATTTTGAGGCAGATAGGAATGTTATTGTGTCACTCGGTTTACCTCTAACTTGCTCGTCTTCTTTGTTAGCGTTGTCGGAAGTAGAATGAAGGGGAAGGTATCGAGTGCATTTACTTACATGCAATAAAGCTCTGAAGATTAAAATCCAACAAAATATTGGCCTTAGAGCTTTTGACCGGCGAATAACGTAGTCATTTTTATATCATTGCGCAGCTTTCCTCCGTTTGTATTTTTTCATTTTCATTTACCGTTCATTAGTCTTAACTTTCCAAGATATGTTGTAACCTCTTAGCTAGCAGTAGGCAATATATTTTCATTTGCAGAAAATTCCCGTACTGTTGCTTATCTGGCACGTTAATTTCGAATGCTTTATGAGTGATTTGTGCAGCAAGCATTATTTATTCTCATTACCTGACATTTATAGATTTAGTTTTCTCTTTTTTATATAAATACCATGAACTTGCAAATATGTTCTCTGCAGATTTCTGAAGAGCTGCGAAGAAATTATTAGTAAAATTCATTATTTTGAAATTTATTAACAAGAAATGCTTGAGAACTACAAAAGCATATGAATAAGGAGTGATTGATACGTCGTGCTGTGTAACAGTACTCGGCATTTAACTTTATCTGAATTTGCATCTCGTGACATGTCCACTTAGAAAACTTTTTCTTTGAGTAAAAGCTGTTCAGATCGTCCGCTCTTCGATGTCTCTATTTACGGTGCAAGGAATCCAGATCGCAGTTCGGTTTCATCATTCTGAAGGTCGCGTCATTTTCTGCGATTTCACTACTTTTTTTTTTGGATGACTGTCTGATTTTTTTCTGCAAAAAAAATTGTTTTCTCTAAGCATATTTACATTTGTGTGGCGCTTTTTTAATACAACATCATACTGAGAAGCAATATACATTGTTCGTTCCATAGATGAAAAAATTACATCTCTCTCATTCTCTCTTTGTATATATATAATGCTCCGTGAAGGATAAGAGAAGAGCTCGTCTTGTCTACCGGAACCAGCAGAACTGAGTGATGCGGGAGTAGAAGGAAAGTATCGAAACACGATCTGTTGCGAGAATCATGAAAACAGAAGAGGATTAACCTCCGACCTGCTGCACATGATTATTATATATAAATATATAGTCTTTATTTTTTGTTTATATATCTATGTATATGTTATGTATTGAAATCATTTATTCATATGCTCTTGTAGCTCCGAAGCATTCATGTATGCTCGAATTGTACTCATTTAACTGTACAGTTCTGCCACTTGCAGGTTGCTCATATTTGCTCTTATGGACTCGAACAACGTACGATTAAGAGACGAATCAGCTGAGGCTTGTTATTTTTGATATGAGAAATGATGAATCTGAATACAAAGCCCACACTTGCGTTATAGAAAAATTATGGCATTTAATTAAATTTCATATATTTTCTTATAGTTGCATAAAAATGTAGCTGTTTTCGTTGCTGCATTTTCCACATGACTTTTAAAAATTTCTAAATTACTACTAAATTAGTGGTATATATTGTTTTTAATCGATTAGCTTGGCTTTTTTCAAAATATTTTGGTTTTTATTTGACCTATTAATCGAATAGTTTTTAATGAAAATTTTGTAGAAAAGTGACATGATCACAACTGCGGGTACAAGTGCGCCATCGAAATTACGCATCATGAATTCTAAGAGAACAAACCGTATGCGAGTTATGAGTAAGCGATGATTTTAAATCAGCTTTCAAATTATTTGCTCACTGGCCAGTTTCAGTTTTTAAGCCAACATACTTGTTATATTTTGTATTCGAATCAATTATTGAGCTGCTAATTTGGCCAAGCTGCCACATAATTATATCATTACCACAGATGAATTGGAACCTTTCCTTCCTTTGTTACCTGATGTGGCTGATATTGATATGAAGGAACAAAAGCAACTTTTTCAACAACTCTATTCTGCTGGAATTGCTGCTTCCGTTTCCTTACATAAGGTAATATAAAAAAACAATAGTAAATTGTAGTTTCATAATTCAAACTGCATTCAAAATCTTAAATGTCGGATTTAAGCTGTTTAGAAGGCGGTTATATTGAATAATGACCGAGGAACAGGTGTGTCTGGTTGATATGCAGTATGTTTTGTAGATGTAACAGGTTACATAATAAACTTTGAGCTCTGATAAATTTGTGTTTGACACGACAGAAATTACCATTTTTCGTCTATATCCTTTATTCTTTAACAATAATCCATGTATTAGTCATCTTTCTCTTTGCGCTCAGCTATTTATCCATCATAACTGCTAGAAAATTAGTGTAAGTGCTAGGCAAGTTGTAATTGATATTATTGAAAAAGATGCATATTTGCCTGAGTCAAGTTGATTAAGGAAAGGTTTTCACGAATTATTTATTTTCGATTGGTCTGGCATAGTTTGATATCAACATTTCAGTAGAGAGGGAAATTTTTTTCTCCACATTTTAGAACAGTAGTTGGCATCTGTATTGAACATACTACATACTCCGCATAAATTTATCAATAATAAAGATTGGTATCGTGTTTTATCGATTTCTATCACTTCACAGAATTTCTGTTAAAACTGGAAATACATTTTATTATAATGCATACAGAATTTGGTTCTGTCTCATCCATCATAATGTTTATCTGACTTCACAATGCACACGTGTTATCAATAATAACGGAACCTGAAAGTAAATTATCTTTTAATCGTGGTATACAGTTAATTATCTGCCATTTTATTGACTTCGAGTAGTGAAAAAAAAACTTGTCTAAAATTGCCAATTGTATTTTTTACTTGCGCTAGGTGCTGAGGGAATATGAAGAAGGATGTTCTAATATTTTAAAAATATCGCACTTTTTGTTAAATCCAAAAACATGAGAAAGAATACAACATTCACATAAGAAACTTTGGTGCTACAACTTTTGACTTAGTTTTTGCCATCTGCACTTATTTTATTCCTTATTTTCTTCATTTAATTATGAGCAGTTACTCGTAGATTTAGAATTATGTTGAAACGAAAAAAGAATAGGAAAGTAACTTCTACTCTTGTAGTGGTTGACAATGAGTACATCTCATCATTTTCCTCGATTTCCTACAAAACTTGCTGCTACAACTTGTATTGGTGAAGTAAAAGAAGGATTTTGTTTCGATAATACTCAGAATGAAAAAATATTCAATGTCGCTACAGCATTCCAAAATGTGCATTTGTCCCAGAGTCACCAGATTTCATTTACTCCGGAAGATGCTGAGGTTTATATTTATTTTTTTAAGCTTTCTTTTAGTTATGATGCCAGTTGTAGAAAATCATTACATTCTTGCAGCATGAAACTTGGGAGATTTTTTATACAAAGTAATTTTCAGGCTTTGAAAACTCTTTCGCGTTCGGGCATTCTAGACGATGCAGTTGAATCATTGCGACAGTTTCCACTGTTGGACGAAAACCTATTTGGTGCAAAAGACGATCCTTCATCTCCAAGCATTATAACCCCCGATGTTTGTTTTCTTATCTCTTTCAAATGAAGCTTTTCAGTTGTTCTCCTGGTATTTTTAAAGTAGGTTTCTGCATTTTCCATCAAACACGATGACCTTATGCAGAATGAATTAAGCTTCAGGGATCATCAGGATTCATTATGCCAGCAGATATGGAGTGTAATAAAAATTATTTCGCCCTCAGTTTGTCATTATTCACTTAAATTCAGATTGCGGCTGCTGCTTTATCGGCTTTTGCTGCCGCTACACTTCGTCGGCCTCCCACACGAGCAATAGAAAGCCTTATGGCAAGCTCTCAGGAGCCTGTAACTGCAAATGGGGGTCCGGATTCCACAGATGAAGAGTCGTTGGAGCTAAATTTAAGTGAGGATGAATCGGAAGACAATGGGGATATGTTACTAAACCTCGCTGTCTCTGCTGGGGTAGCAGTTTTTGTAATTTCATCTGAAAACAGTGAGTAGTCAAAGAGTAGTATCAAACAAAAGACAGTTATTATAATGACTAGTTAGTACTAGCTCGAGTTTGTGTTAAAAAGTCAATTCCATATACAATTTTGTGTTGATTGACTGGTATTGTTTGTACAATCACCGAAGAGTGAAAAAATAAATTGAGTTTTAATAATATAATACAGACGTGTAGTATGACTAGAATGGAGTTTTTACTTTCCTTCCTGGTTGTGCTTTAGTAATATAATTATTCCTAGAATGAAAGTAACTTCGAGTGTGTGGATAAATGGATAAAAGTAAAATGCTTTTGTCGATTTCGTTATTTCTTCATTTTAGCAATACATAGCACTTAATTTTTTCAGTGTTTACATCTAACTAAGGAATTGGTGGAAATTAGAGGAAATCCTAATTATGCCAGTATAAATAATGATCGCACACCACTAATGGAAGCGTGTTGTGCTGGTAAAACCTTGTTTTATTCAGTATACTGTGTGAAATATGAATTTTTTAAACTTCAGTCTAGTTTTTATGTTATAAGTGAGATAATTTTTCTTTCTAGTTTGTTGAAGAAAAACAAGTTGATGTAAATATGAAAAAAATTGTCTTGTAATTCAGGTCATGTTGAAATCGTCCAACATTTATTAGAACATGGTGCTAATGTTAATGCTATAAGTGCTACAAAGAATACTCCCTTAATATATGCATCTGCCGCTGGTAACGTTAAGGTAGAACTTCTCTAGATTATCAAGAAATTACTTTTGGGTTTTAAAACATTATTTTTGAGGGTAATCGATATGGAATTCGAAAAATTAAGTAACAGATACTGTTTTTGGTGCTTATCATTTACTGTGACATTTCTTTTGCAGTGTGCAAAGTTATTGCTGGATTATGGTTGTGACACAACCATACGAAATGATAACGGGCATTGTGCTCTTATGGAAGCAGCCAGTTCCGGTGAGCACATTTTCCTATTCGTTCTACTACTTATAGTTTTGTTTTATCAATCATATCATCTGCTAGTGATTGTAGATGATTTGGTTGAGCTTTATTTGCTTTGAAAATACCATGTGTCATTGTTTTGTTCCTATCATACACAGCTACAGTAGCGGACGATTAATAATCATATTCGCAGAGCATCTTGAACACAGAAAATTTCAAATAATGTGTCGATGTAAACAAAATATTTCAAGGTTATTTGGACGTTGTTTCCTTGCTTGTTGAACATGGTGTCCAAGTGTTGCCATGTAGTGAAGATGAATTGAAAGTTGGCCTGGTTAGTTTTGGTTATTTCTAAGTTTTGAAAACTTGTAAATTGCAGTAAAGAATTTTAATTTAAGCAGAGCTTTATATTATGAACTATAGATCATCCATTGATTCGTTTTTGTGGTGAAATCATATTTTAATTGCATCATACAGTAATATATTTTTACTAGTCTTTATACATAAAAGAAGTCCTGCTATACTTCATGAGATCGAGTTCTTGTACGATGCTATGATTTTAGGAGTCGTCATTAACTTTAGCTGCTTATAAGGGTCACTATGATGTAGTTCATTACTTGCTTGAAAAAGGTTCCAAAAAGTATCAAGAAGAACTGCATACTGCGTTAATGGAAGCATCTATGGATGGGCATTATGAAGTGGCGAGATTGCTGTTAGATAGCAATGCTCCAGTTAATTTGGCATCGGATTCTTTTGAAAGCCCATTAACTTTAGCTGCTTGTGGTGGACATCGTGATTTGGTATATATTCTTTTATTTTTTATCATAATCGCAGTTCAAACATTGGAAGTTATCAGGCAATTTGTTGCATATAAAATAATAAATGTTTTACCATTCTTTCTTTTCCAGGTACAATTGTTATTAGAAAGAGGTGCCATTGTTGAAGAAGTAAATGATGAAGGTTATACTCCTTTGATGGAAGCTAGCCGCGAAGGTCATTTAGTATGTTTTAATTTATATGTTCATAATAATGCTCCGTTTAATCGGCGTACTTTCATGATTTTTCATGTTCAGGAAGTAGTGAAGTTGTTGATCAAATTTGGCGCCAAAGTAAATACAGTGACTGATGAAACGGGCGAAACTGCCTTAACATTAGCAGCATGTGGCGGCTTCAAGTAAATTGTTTCACTCAATTCTAAATCATAGCTATAGGTTTTTCGTATGTCTTGAAGGTTTCTTGTAGTGAAACTATCGAAGATGAATTGAGACCAATTACAGCATGTTTTTTGTACATTACTTGCAACAGAAAAATCATTCAGTTGTCGCACATCTAAAATAAATTCTTGAATTTTTGAAAGGTCTGAAAATATAATGTTCGTCAAAACTGCTGGATAGTTACGCAATTTTTATAAATTAAATTTTTGGGATAGTATATGTCTGAATATGAATCGTTTTTAGAGATGTTGTGGAACTACTAATACGAAATGATGCGCGTTTGGATATTGGTGTTAATACCCCTTTGATGGAAGCGGCTCAGGAGGGGCACCTCGAAACTGTCAAATTCATTTTGAGTGAAATGATTTCAGTTGGTTTACCGGCAAGTTTTTCTGAGACTTAAAGTTTCTTAAAGAAATTTCTTCGCTTTCATTATAAATTGTGTGGAGTATATGTGAAACTTCTGTTTAAGGTCGATGCGACAACTACTGCAAACAGTAATACAGCACTTACGTATGGAGCAGAAAATGGTCATTTGGATGTTTGCGCTGCATTGATAGAGTTTGGTGCAAACATAGTAAGTGTTATTTAGAGATCATTTAAAATTTAGATAAGTTTATTGTAGTCACGCCATCAATTAAAATATTCGCTCGTCATTTCATAGAGGATCCTGGACTACTCAGAAAACTTTTTTGGTTTGAAGCTTTTTTGTCCTGAAATTCTTAGTCATTTGGAAGGTTTTTTGAACGATAACAAGAGTCTTAGATTTGAGAATTTTTCTACTTCACTCTCTTTTTTGCATGGATATCATCACAAAAAGCAAAGCAAAATCCTTCTTCGACGTAAAAAAGGCATTTTGGCTTTTAGTGATATCGCATCTTCTTCTGCATCAGAAATTTACATTTGAACTTAAGGATCACCGAGCAGAAAAAGGACGAACGGCTTTGATGAAAGCAGCAAAGAATGGAAATTACAGTGTCATCCAGTTTCTTTTAATGCGGGGAGCCAAGGTTTTTATGTGTATTTTCATTTTATCACTATGAAACCAATTTGAATGATATAAAAAAATAAAAATAAATTGAAATTTGTATATTTTAATTTTTAGTAAGAGAAAAAAACAGGAGCTAGAAAGTTTCTTGTTTCAGGTAAACGAGGTTTCTACAGATAATGATGCCAGTGCGTTATCTCTGGCTTGTTCTCATGGTCACTGGGAAATCGTGCGATTATTGTTAGATCATGGAGCTGATCCATCTCATGTTTTCAAAGTTGGTATAGTATTTCGGTTGTAAGAAAAATATTTGTTCAGTTAAGCTTCAGGGTGATATTGAATACCCGTTTGGAAATAGACAAGTTATATATATTTATATTTATATACAGGTCAGTTTCCGTTTTCGCGTTATTGATTCTGGCGCTGGATCGCAGTCCGGCACTCTGGCAGTACTTATCCCGCGCTCAGATTTGTTGTACTCATCGTTCTCGCTTTGTCCTCGTGGAATCCATATCGACTGTCGAAGGAGATGCTTTCGAGCGTCTTCTTGAGAACTATCGATTGGATGTACGCCTCGACATGATCAGATATACTAATCTCCTTCGTATAGCGTTTGTGGAAGTTCGTCAATATCCCATCCCAGATCATCACATGCGGAATTATTTTCGTCTTGCATCTCATCTCTGACCCAAGCTTATTAACAAGTAGGTCATATTTTCGCTTGTTCTCCCTCTCGATTGCTGTCAACCTGCCCTGGCTAGTGATGCCAATCTCAATCAGGATTACTTTTCGTCGCTTCTTATCGTGTATCATGATATCTTGAGGTTATGCACAAACAACAAATGATTTGTAATATGCATTCCTTGATCAGTTGGAACCGCCACTTTTGGATATCTTATATTGAGCATCTTAAGTCTTTCAATGCACTTAATCAGACATTCGTGATTAACTGAATCAAACGCTTCTTTCATGTCATACCACGTAGTGTAAAGCTGGTTCTTGTGCTCTTTGCAAACCGCCAGGTTCAACATTGCTTCTTCTTTCGAACCTGGGTAACAACTCATAATTAATTGATTGTCTGCAAGCGGCTTTCTCATGGAAAAATCTAACTACATGACGCGTGCCACACATTTCGTTGTCAAATTGTAAAAGTTCGACATACAAGTTATTGGCTTGAAGTCGCTGCCTTTACTTGGGACACCTTTTGGAATTAGCTGGGTAGTATCTTCATAGAATCACGAATCTTGTTCCTCCTCATCTAGACAAATCCTTCTTACTATTTTGTACAAGTCTAGATGCATGGAGGTGCATCTTAATAAAGAAGTTATAAACTCCATCAAGCCCTGCCGCTTTCCAATTGGGCAAATATGAAACTGTTTTCCCAAGTATTTTATTTTAGGAAGTATTTTATTCGTTCAATACAATGGATTCGGCTAGGACGAAGCAACGAAGATTAACATAGCAGATCTGAGCTTGAGGCGAGTGCTGCCAGAATACCGTAACATGGTTCGCCGAAATCAATAATGCAGAAAAGGATATTAACCGTGTGATATTGTAGTACATATCTTTATTATTTCAGGATGGAATGACGTGTATGATTGAAGCATCACGAAATGGGCACACGCGTGTTGCAGAAACACTTTTGAATTGGCATGATGTGCCTGTGGTTACGCGTACACCATTGTTAAGCAAACCACCAGCGTTACAGAATAATCGCTTGAAAAAGGTAACTTATGAAGGCTTTTGTACTTGCTGCAAAAAAGATTAAATTTGAGGTTCCATAAAATTTTCAGATCTTTCTATTTGTCATTATTTTTTCAAAATTGTAGGTTGCACGACGAACAGTTAGCAAGAAGGCTACAACTTCAATACATCCGAAAATAGAGTGTGCAGAGAGGTCGACTAGTATGCTAGTCGATGTTGATGAAAAAATGGGAAACTCTGAAAGAACAAGGGCAGTGACTGAAGTGCATTCGTCTTGTACTCATGATTCTCAATTGGTCTCGGGGACTCATAGTATGTCAACAAATACCAGTGTGCCTTCTCATTTGCTTGCGCATTACAATTATCAGCAGAATGCGATTAATCCAGATGAGCTACGAGGGATGATTGCAGGGATGGCTGCCATGGCTGCGCAGTCGAATGTAGTTTGTTTTCGTTAATTATATGCAACTTTTGTTATGATGAATTTTTCTTAAGCTACTAGTGTGCTGAAAGCTTCTAAAATTAATTGTAGGACAAGAAAGTATTATTCTTCTGTATAACTAAAAATTTTTGAATGATATGGTTCGAGTTTATATAATTGTTTTCTTACTTGTTTTGTCTTTGTTTCTTTTAGCAATTTCAGTCTCGAATATTTTAAAGAATAGCATATTTATAGATGTTTCTCAGCAATTTCAAATCTGCTTTGCGTTGTTGTTGGTTGAGATTATCTCATTAAGTACATTTCAGCTTCCCAATGATCATTTATTCGCCCAAATAGCCGAGAAGGCCTTGAGGGGCACGTTTACAAGTAGTGAAGTTACTAGTAGTTTATCGGATAAAAAAATGCATCAGCAGTTCAGTGAATTGTTGAAACAGCAATTCAGTATATTGGCTAATCGTCAGAAAGATGCATTGGCAGGTTTGGGTGGTCCTAGTCCTTTACCAGACTCTGAAAACGGTGTGTTTCATAATTCTGTCTAGATTCAAAAGACTGAAATGAAAGCAATTTTTCAAATAAAATATGCAATGAAGTATGCATAAGCAGCTTAAAACTGGTAGCTTTTTAGTCTGAAATTGATCCACTAATGAAAAATTCTACTGAATGTTTTTGTAGAAATTTTTAAAAATCTGTTTAACTTGAAATTCCATCATGTGTTTAGATGGCAGCACTTCATATAGCCCTTCTGTTGCATCTTCTCCATCACCCCCCATGGTTGCTTGTTGTGAAACCACTGCTGCTCATGTTACTCAAGTTTCAAATCCACATACCAATACAAGGAAAGGAAGTATTTCTAATGTGAGTTTAATTTGCAGTCAATCAATACATCGTCAGCAAATGTTAAAGCTGCGACTTTTATAGAAACGTGAAGCATTACTATCGACTTTTTCTGTCCTTGAAATTGTGGCTTACAGGAAAGACAGAAATCTGTAGTAGGACGTGGCATGCTATTAAAAAAAGGTTTTGGTGAACAACGAGGTTGTTTCCCGCCGACATCCATCAGATTCCCAGCACCGCCACCACCGCTCATGAATACAAATATTCCACGTGGTTTGCTTTTTTTTTACTAGTTGGAAAAGATTCTACTGATATTCAAAAGAACGAAGATAAAAAAAATCTTAAGGTGTAAAAGGAGTAAGAGAAAAGATTTAGTAGGTTACAATTGGTTATCAGTAGATCTGGAGAAATGTTCATTTTTGGCGGTGAGAAGAGAGAGGTAATGGTTCGGATTTTTCAGTGATCATCGAGTTTGTAAAAGATTCTCTTCGAAAATCTTTTGCTCTTTTTCATGGTCAAGCAAAACCTGTGTATAAATTTTTATTTGTGGATATGAAATTTTCTATAACTTATTTGACTCTGGAATCTGATTTTTAGTTTTACTAGTTTTTTTTTTCTTTCCATTCAAATTTTCAGTTCTCAGTATTATGAAAAAATTAAAAGGTGGGCTTCAAGTCTAAAGTACTTTTTAAGTGATTTTTAATATTTAAGGGTTTCTGTTGGGCTTGTGCGTAAACCTCATTAATTTTACTGTATGTAAGATGTAGGGAGAATTTTGCATATTCGTTATATCTCTTTTCTCTACTTATAGGGAGTGTACCGCTATCTCCAAGGAAATTACAACATTCACCGTCGGCTAAGCAACAGCAGCACGTGATTCCAGTTACTGGACAGCATCGTCCAAAACTTGCGCTTGAAACAGCTGGTGACCAATTATTAGCTGAGAAAAGTGCATCAAGAAGGTACCATTTCTTACATATTTATTTTGCATTACTTTGTATTTTCTTGCTAAAAAAAAGTTTTAAATAATCCTTTCAGTCGAGCTAGAAGGACTTTGAGTGAAAGCGCGATGCACGTTGGTGATGGACAGCGAGCAGCTGAAAAAAAGGCATGCGATGCAGATAGTGATAGTGGTGAAACTGTTAACAAAAGTGGTGCTAAAAGCACAGGTGAGTTGTGTTTTTATATTTCTTGGATTATAAGTCTGTTTTTGTAAATATATTCATTCTTCTATTTCATGTTATGTATTGTGATTTTGTGGGAGTGTGGTACGTGAAGAGTAAATCATGTTATGATAAAAATAAATAATATTTTATAAATTTAGCGTAGATTGATTGTTTACATTACATTGATTGACTTTGGACTTTTAGATACTGCTTCTGCTATTTTCTTCATATTGAGAAGAAATTTACTGTTGAATTATACGCATTGAATCGAATGTAGAATATCTTTTTTTTGGCTCTTTATTTCAATTCAGTTTTTGAATACTTTACTAGTAACCAGAAAAAACCTTTGGTTTTGGTGTTATCAAAGTAAAGCATTCATGTATAAGGAATATGACAGAGACCAATGTTAAATGGTAACATTTTAGTTGCTCACGCGTTTAACGTAGATATGCAGACTGACTCAAACCATGATACTGCTCTCACTCTGGCTGCGACAGGAGGACATGACTCACTTGTTGAGTTGCTTGTCACAAGGGGTGCTGATATTGAGCATAAAGATAAAAAAGTAAGCCCACGTAGATAAGTTTAAATCGGATATATTTGAACTTTCATGCAGTTAATTCAGACCACTTAAAAAGTTTACGCATTTCATCCCCTTCAAATGTTCAGACTGCTTGTTATATTAGAGTTCAAGAAAATGTCTGCGAAAAGTATATTCGAATCTTCATCATTTTTCCTTAGTTTTGAGTAAATGAATTCTGATATTTTTTTTGTGACTTTATATTTCTATAGGGTTTTACGCCTCTTATATTAGCTGCGACTGCTGGGCACTCAAATGTCGTTGAATTGCTTCTTAACCATGGGGCGAATATTGAAGCGCAGTCAGATCGTACTAAAGACACGGCTTTATCTCTTGCTTGCTCTGGGGGACGAAAAGAGGTACTTTGTAATTATTTAACAGTTTCAGTTATTATGTTATCAGGCAATAAATTATCGCTTTCAAGTTTATCAAGATGATTACCGTTATTTAAATATCGGATTCTTGTTTTTAGGTTGTAGAAATACTTCTGAAACGTGGCGCTAACAAGGAACATCGAAATGTAAGCGACTATACTCCACTTTCATTAGCTGCCTCGGGTGGTTATGTTGATATCGTGAATTCGCTTCTTAACAGTGGTGCAGAAATCAATTCTCGTACTGGTTCAAAGGTTTTTTTTGACTTGAATATTTCAAAGTTTGATCTTGTGGTGAAAACAAACAAATTTAACCAAAGTCATCTGAAGTGGTGAACTCTTTTAATTGTTATCAGCTTTTTCCATCCCTGTTAAATGTCAAATTAAAAGTTTCGAAATTATTGAAGAAATATATCGACATTGTAATTCTATTTGTTTATTAGTTTTCGTGCATTCACACTCATATAAGAATGTAACCGGCGAAACAAGTTACCTATCATGGCGCTTGTAAAATCAAACATTGCGTAACTTGTACCAAATTTCTCAGTTATTTTTATCCTATTCTAGACAAATTAACTTGTCAAAATGATGGTATTGTTTTAGTTGGGAATATCGCCACTTATGTTAGCAGCGATGAATGGGCATGCGCCAGCTACAAAAATTTTGCTTGAGCGTGGTTCGGACATAAATTCTCATATTGAGACCAATCGTAACACTGCACTGACATTAGCATGTTTCCAAGGACGTACCGATGTTGTGCGATTATTACTTGAATACAATGCTAACGTTGAACATCGTGCAAAAGTATGAACATGATCAGTTTGTTTAAAAGAAAATGAAAAGTTTTTTGCGACATTTTTAACTGTTTTCGCATTCACATCGGAGGTGGTTTCTCTATCAAGTTTTACCTGCAGAACCGAGTGTAATCACAACTTATTGTAGACTGGGTTGACTCCGTTAATGGAAGCAGCTAACGGAGGTTATGTAGAAGTTGGAGAGCTGTTGCTAAGTGCTGGAGCTGATCCCAATACAGCACCAGTTCCTACAAGCCGTGATACTGCACTGACAATAGCAGCTGATAAAGGACATCATAAGTTTGTCGAAATGTTGATCCATGCTCGGGCTCAGGTATTCTTTCTGAACCGCAGGCTTCCTTTACGTAATCAAAGATTTAATTTTTGTAATAGAGATTTCTATTATTGTAGGATGTTTACCATAGTGAATTATTTTATTTCATAAATGAAGGCTTGAAGACTTTAATCTGAAACTTTTTTTTTCTCATATAGATGATCAACTTTTGTTCATATGCTTTTCGTAAAAAATAAATCCTTTGATCTTCATTTTTAAAAAGCTTACTGCAGTTCGGGTTTTTGTATCTTTCTGGAAGTCCTTAACTATTGAGAATATCATTCAGATTGATGTAAAGAATAAGAAGGGTTGTACAGCGCTGTGGCTAGCATGTCACGGCGGTCATTTAGAAACGGTGCAAACGTTGGTCAAACATGAGGCGGATGTCGATTCTCAAGATAATCGCAGCGTTTCACCACTGATCATAGCATTTCGAAGGGGACATATGAAAGTAAGAGAGATGGCATTTTATCACAAAAAAATTGTTTGAATTTTACATATCATGTTCTAACGGCGCAGTATTGATGTAATGCGTTGTGATTGATTTTTCTAAATTGTTCATTCTTACAGGTAGTGAAGTATATGGTTCGACACGTACAGCAATTTCCAAGTGATAGTGATTGTTACCGTTTTATTTCTACTATTAATGATAAGGTGCGTATCTTTTTTATTGTTTATTTTCCTTCATTTTAGGTAAAAGGACAGAACCAATTGCTTTTAAACATTTTGCGCGTTTCATGAGTTTTCAGTTTTGTATTGCACTACTTTTACGTTTCTGTTAACTTCTGTAGTTTGTTTGTAATAAACTTCATGTCCTTTTTTCAAATTAAGCGGAGTCTTTTTAGGCATGTTTGAAGCTTTTTTTGGCTTTATACATGCCTTCTTGATCTTTTTCAGATTACAATATGCGCATAATTTTTGAATACGCATATAATATGACAACGATATGTGCGCAAACTCATTTCATTAATCCTCTACTTGAGTATAAGATAAGATGAAGCATTCACTGAATATTCTTAGAGTTGTTCAAAACGATTATATTCAGCGTTTTCTGCTATTCTAATATATCAAGTTCAGGAACTGCTAGGAAAATGCCATCTTTGCATGGACATTATTGTTGCAGCAAAAGATCGACAAGCTGCTGAAGCAAATCGTGCGGCAGAATCGCTATTAGAAATCTTAGCTAAAGAGGTCATTCATAAATTGTAAAAACTATATTTGACTGGCAAGCATATATCATAGTAATTTTTACATAGGTAGTCATTTCATTACTTGATGCAATAATATCGTTTAGGAAGCACAAGCAAAATCTAAAAAACTGTCAAAACAACGACAGAATGAAAAGAAGAAAGCTAAACGAAAGGCTAAAAAAAATCAGTAAGTTTTTGGAAGACTTCATGTCATGGCTCTAAAATGATCTCATTGCACAGTACTCTGCATATGCAATTATTCGTTTTTTTAGGGCTGATAGTAACACGGAAAAAAAAGATGTAGACCGTAAAGATGACGAACCTCCAAGTAATAATGGTGAAGTATGGTTAAATGATTATATTTCATATTTTTCATATTAAATTGATTCACTATGTTATGACGCGTATTGTATATCATTGTTGCGATTACAAAATGTGTCATAAGTTAATATTTAGGAATCGGCAGATGAAGAGCATCTTTCAGAGAAAGCGAATTTCATTGCATCGGTTGATGAAAGCTTTACCGGAGATCGTGATGTGGAAAATGAGGTTTAATAATCTTGAGTTGGGAAGTTGATGATAAATATTTAAACTTAATTCCAAGCAATATCTGGAGTGTTTTTAATTTTCTTGAATCATATGCTGAATCTTCACGATTAAAACCGTAGAAATACTTATTAAACTCGAACTTACTCTCTAAGATTCTTGATGTAGTTAACAGTATGGTTTACTTTGTTTGCAATAATTTCTCTCTATTTCCAAGTGAAATATTCATAATTCAGCCACAAATGCATTATGTTTGAAATGATGCTTCTTCAAACTAATATTGCTTTGTTTTAAAGATAGATCCTCCACGCGTTCCGGTAATTGTCTCAGAAGAGCAGAGTGCTGATGAAACAATTTTTGTACATCCTGAAAGTTTACCTTCAAAATTCGAATGCGGAACTTTGATGTCAACAGACTTTTCTAGTAATACAAAATCATCACGACAAAGAATTCGAAAGGAAACTGGTATGGCATAGAGAATTTTTTTTTACTATGAAACTTGATTATGCTTCAATTAATTCATTTCACAAAGGTGGTTTGAGGTAAAAGTGGTGTTTCTGGCAGATTGCTTCCGCAGAAATCAGGTAGCGGTAATACTTCGGACACTGAATGGATGAAAGCAACATCAAAGAAGAACGTGGTAAGATAATTTAAGAGTGAGGATTTGATTTTTGTTCTTTTTAATGAACGGTATTATTTTAAATTTACCAGAAATAAATTGTAGTTTATCATATTATGTCTTCATTTTTAATGTGACTGTTCAATATTAAGAGTGATAAATTGAAAAAAAAAGTAACAGATTTTAGTACATGTCTATATTTCTCTTGATGTGAAATTCATTCTGTTAGAAATATTCATTCTGCAAGTAGTCAAACATCTGTTAGAAATATTTTGCAGGTTGTCTTACCCTGCATTGTGCATTGTTAGATTACCACTTCCATATTATTATGATGTTAATATCCAGATAGTATCTCTGACTTTAAGATTTTATCTTAATCTATAAGTTTTTATTTTTTCATAATTTTTCGAGAGTTTTTCTCTTTTATTTATTAATTTATCGTCGACCCTAATATTCTACTTATAATCATGTAAGAATAAAAAATGAAGTTTGTTAGTGTGCCGAAAAAGTTTCTTTTCTTCAAGTCTACTGTATATTCTCATGATGTTCTTGGAGTAAACGATCATTCTGTTTGTTTTCTCTCCACCTTAATCGCCTGCTGTGGTTTGGTAGCTAATTTATATTTGTTGATCCTTACATCTTTTCCTAATTAAAAAAAAAATGTTATTTTCTCAACTAGTCCTCATGGTTTTAGATGATTATTCAGTGATAACACATCGCAAAGATTAAAAGTATTCGTTTGTCCATAGCTTGACTTCATTTTTTTTTTCATTTATAAATTATTCATTTCAAATTTTCATTTACATTTTCCATTTTCTCAGTATTATGTACATTATAAGTTTAGTTCTGTATTTGAAATTCTTTTCATCCATCACACAGACTGTTTCTTATTTTGCTTCTGTACATTACAGGTTGAAATAATTAACCTACTTATTACTCATGATTCTGATTGATATTTAGATAGATTACTCTTAAAAAATGCATTTATTATAGGGGAAAACAGTGACATCTGCAAGAAGTCCTGCTTGTGGGACAACGCGAAAAGAAGAAACTGGAAACAATGCAGGAGCATGGCGATATGTTGATTCGGTAGAGTGCTCACTGTCATTTTTTTGTAGTTGCAAGAATATTTCTGAAGTAATGTGTTAGCATTATAGGGTCGTCGACGGTCAGCTCGGTTGTCTGTTTCATCCAGTTCAATTGCTCGTGTTATTGGACGTGCAGGAGGTAACATAAATGCGATTCGTGAAGCCACCGGTGCATATATTGAAGTTGAAAAGCAAACTGGTAAAAAAGAGCAACATGATAGACAAATAACATTGAAAGGTTCTGATGCAGCACTGAGGTTCGCTGTTTTGTTTCAGATATAAAGTTTGCAAATTTTTTATGAACTATATTAACAACGTTCACTATAAGGATATTCATGGTAAGCAAAGTAGTTGAGAGTGTAAAATTTCTCTTCATGTTCAAAATAGTGGATATGATTTTAGGCATTCAGGATTGATAGGTAGGGAACATGACGAGAGATTCAACATAGGAATAAGCAGAACTAAGTAAGTCCAGCTAGTTAAAGTTTTCAGTACGTGTCAAGTGTCAACTTATGGACAGTTCCTTGTTTCGTTTTTTCTAATATAGAAATAATAATTTGCCCATAAGCAATTTATCTCCAAATAGTCAACAAATTTGAAGAAGAAACATGACTCGTAAAATTATATAGTCTTCATCATAATACATGAAAGGTTATTTGAATATCTTTATCGGCGAGTTTCATTTATTGTATGCCTAAAGAATGTATATTCTGGTGATATTAAGAATTTAAATTACATCTAAAATCCAGCATTGATCAAAAGCAATATCATCAGCTGAAATCACTCATTGTTTGCAAAAAATTAGTTTTTGACAAGAATCTTTCCTTATGTTTGTATCATTTTAGTTATAATGCAGTGAAGGACGGATAATTTTTCAGACAAGCTGTCGAGATGATACATGGTTTGATCGATGACAGTGAGTGTAATGTTGAAGACGTGATTCAGCGTGTGAATTCTATCCACAATTCTACTACTTCTCAGAGTGAAGAAAATGCTATTCGAAGTACTTCAGCATTGAGTGGAACTGGTATTGTACCTTCAACAACATCACCGCTTACTGCACAAAAAAAACCAGTCTCTGGTATAACAGTGTCACAAGAATCGCCGGAGGTAATTTTATTTTTTTAAAATTCCGAATAACGATTTTATCTTTTTTTTTTCTGGCAGCATCACTCGAATAATTTTACATAGTGTCTTCAGAATTTTTAAAATCTGTTTTTTAAATAAGTTTTTCAGATGGTACACAAAGTTGTAACAACAAGCAAAAAAACCATTCCTCACATGACTACTACAAATGTTTGGGCGCAGCGAGCTGCGCAACGGCAAAGTCAGAAAAGTATGTTTTCTTCATCTAAAAAATTTTAATGTAACCTTGTTAATTTATGTACATCTGTTTTCAGTTGTTAGTGCTATTGGTTCAGAAAAAAAGCAGAAAATGTCGGCCTTCACAGAACTAGAAAAATCAAATTGCGACATATCGATGCAGCCAGTGACACCTGGAATTGTACGCACGATCCAAAATGTTCCAGTTGTGAACACCAGTATTTTTCAAGCTGTGGTACTTCGAACATAATTTTTAACCATTATTTTTAACAGTTATTTTCCTTCTACTTCTTAGCAGTTTGTTTAACATAGTTTATTTCTAGAATGAAACTCAAGAACGTATAGTGAAAGAATTTTGCCGAGCTCCAGGACACGCAAGGCCAACCTCCGCATGTGCTTCAACTTCTTCGGCATCTCCCATTGGTACATTTTTATATAAATTGTTAGGAACAATTGTCTTCTTCGAAACGCGAGATATTAATCGCTTTGGACGATGCTTTCATATTTTTTCTAAAATTTGGACGAGGTTGACTTTGCAGAGCACCAAATATTTGGAAGAATTTTTTAATGTATATCAATTTTCATTTAGATAAGCTGGAGTTATGAATGTAACAATGTCTTTAAGCCTATTTTTTCTTCTTTCATAATTTTTGTGAAAGGAGATATAGCTATTAATAATTACATTCAGATGAAAAACAAGGAACTATAGTAGAAGTTGGAGCATTGCGGTTTAAATTTTTGATTGAAGGCTTTGCACCTCCGATCCTTGTCACAACTGAGAGTAGTGGAGTTGCTCCTTCCATCAATCCGACATCAGCAGCCCCGTTAAGTGATGCCAAACCACGATTAGAATTGTTTGATATGTTGGTTTCTTTTTTAATTAACCATTTGTTCGACTGAGTGCTTTTCTTACAGAATGCTTTTTGTTCTAGGTGTGGAGTACTTGGTTAGGTTCTCCATATAATAAATCAAAATTGTAACAAATGAGGAAGTTTAGCTATTTTAAATAGTTTGAGTTCGCTCAAAGATGAAATATTACTATTTTTTATAGTGAATCGAGGATTGAATTCCCTCAAAACATTCCAACAGCAGCTTCACTTCCAACCGCATCAGGTATTATTTAATTGTATACAATACATATTAGGCGGAATCATGCGAAGGTTAATCTTGTAACCATATTTTTTAATCATGTTGGCGTTGAGTCGTGCTATGACACGAAAATTGCTGTTTAAGTTCTAAAGAGCACCTTGAACGATGGCACATGCAGAGAGCATGGAAATTAGCTATATATTACGTGGTATTACATTAAAGAGCGTTCGATTAATGAGTATTGATTAAGTGCTTTAAAAAGCTTGGCATGCTAGTGTGGATTAGTACGTCTCTGAAAAGTATCACATCCAAAGCGGTTTTCACCGATTTCAAGCAATGCACATAACGAATATTTGCTATTTGCTGATGATCTTAAGCTCCCTGCAGATGATGAGGATATGATGAGATCTGTGGTCGGAAAGTTTAGAGATTCCCTTAAAATGTAGGTTTAATGGTGAATTCAGAAAATTCAGCCACTAAAACCGAGATAAGCACTGATAGGATGCGCTATTGGAAGGAGCTCAAGGATATAAATACCTTGGAGTAGTGGAAGACAGGATTAGTGCACCGGTCTGAGAAAGCTACTATAAAGTCCCACCAGAGATTTTAGTAAGAATGGAGCGACTAGCCTAAACTGCACTGAATCGCAAGAACTTTATCAGAGCAGTAAATAAGCACACCATCATAAATTTAATAAAAGGAGGTACTCGATTCAAAATCAGAAAGATTCAAAGCTAACAGAACACGATATCAGGCAATTATTAAATAAATATGGAATTCGTAATCAACCTGCATGTTCGGTGGGACTATACCTGCCAAGGAACGAGCTAGGACGTGGATTTCATAATGTTGGCAGAGAAATGAGCTTATGCTTCTCTAACTACATAATGTCCTTATAGATATCGCGCCCATATCTATCAGAAGGGCAGCGATTTTAAAGCAGGAAAAAGTTCGCAACACGTTTTTAATAATTATTTCACTTTACTTTTAGATTGAATACAACTTCGCAGAAACAGCTGTAAACTTATTAAAGCGCTGCTGTATAGCGGAGTAGAAAAGAAATTTTTTCATATAAAGCTGTACAAGATGTGCAACGATGAGCTAGTTTATATGACAAACTCATCATCGTATCTGTGTAAGGAACGTACGTGTAAAGACGGAGGGCCATCTAGCAACACACTGCGAGAAAATGTTTTGTCATCGTTGTGCTAGAAAACACAATGAGGTGATGTCGATGTATTCATTTAGGACTTTGCAAAATGTATGGTCTGAAAGCCTCCGCACGCATGCAAAACCAGGATAGAGTTACGGATGAAAATGTGGAGATTAGAGCCGATACACACGTTATAATAGCAATAAATATAAGTACGAATCGAGCGGATATCATGATCAACATATTGACTGGAATGGGATAGTAATGGAATTTCACAAACGCTACGCCGAAGTAATCACTTTATTTGATTATGGGCTGTTGTCCAACGTAGTGCTGAAGAAGATAGTGGAGAATGCATCTCACTGGATCACTGTAGTGAATTCGACAAGGGCGAAGCAGAGACCAGCGTTGCGGAATCGACCGCTAGTCGAGTACAGTAAGAGTCCAAAACAGAATCAGTAATGTGGGTGATAAGATTAATCTCTGTGTAAATTTTTGTTTATATATATGTCAATTGCTCTACAACTTTATTCACTGTAAATAACAATCATAAATGCTCATATTGGTTATTGGCTGATTCCCTGGCAATAAAACAGTTTATCCAATTCAGATATCGGTGACAAAAAGGTGCAACCATTCTTCAGTGCAACAAAGTCAAATTTGGAATTGTTGAATCCTGGTGTTGTCGATGAAAAATTATTTTCGGTAGAAAGAACTCTTTTGTTCATTTGTTCTTATGTTTCCATCATTCATGTATCACTGGAATATAACTGCGGTTATTTTCAAGACGCTTTTTTAATTGTTTCTCACTTTAGTCAGTGGATTCTTCCCGCCCAGACATGATGCGGTCACTTGCAAACATTTGGGATGATGGTGTTATTGATGACAAAAATTGGAATCCGGCACCTTTAACATCAGTTCAGTTCGATGATTTTGCTAGAAGTATTAATGTTGAGCTTCCAGTGTCAAAGAAACCGATTAAAGATTTCTCTAATTCTGTCGTGACGACTGATCAAATGGCTGCTTTGACTAAAAATATCGCCAATTTACGTACAAGCGTAAGTTTGTCAAGATCTTGCTAAAAATATTGCATTCTGTTTTTTGTTCATATATTTCTTGTGATTAAAAGCCAAATGAGGCAAATTTGCAGTTATATTTTAAAAGTCTTTGTAGGATGAGAGGTCGCTTAACATACCATGTGTTGAAGAAATAACGCAACGCAACTATGGTATTGAGAATGTGCAGTCTTTTGATTTGGCTTCTCCATTTCCAAGTCGTGATGAAGTCGACTGGAGTAATCCTTCGTTTACAGCTGATACTTTTGCTGGCTGGAGAAGTAATATCGTAGAGCCTCCTGTCGTATCGGTCGGTCAAGAAATGGAAAGTTCTTCTTGGATAGATCAGGCAAGTGTGCTGAATTAATGAAGGGTATTTATTCAAGTTACCTTTATTGTTGTTTTATTCTTATTACTGTCCACTCAGTTTTTTAGACGAATTTCAACACGTGTCTTTTTTATTCGGATTGTTTTTGAGGTGGCAGCTCGTATAGCTTCTACTCGTCATGAACGTCTGCCATTTTCATCAAACCCTTCATATGGGACGATTGGTAATCATGGATATAGAACTAATTCTTTTGGAACTGATACAGCAAATATTAATCTTGGGCAACAGTCAGCGCAAGCATGGAATCGCATCCGCTTTCAACAAGTATGGTTGTACTTCATAGTTAATTTTAAAAGTGTGATTTGTTTCCATCATCGCTCTGTGCTTAATATTAAGAAATATTCAATGTCAAGCGTTGAGATTCTAGTCAACTTGTGTAGAAGAAGCGTGTGTAAAAGTCCGTTCGGTTTTCCTGACTTTTTTAAAAGTTCCTCTATCAATTATTATGTTATTAGTCCGTACAGTCCCATCACTATTGTTCTGTCTTTAAATTTTTAAAGATCGTTTTCAGGCTGCACAGGCTGCTAGCAATGAATATGAAAGTTTGACTAATCTGCTTAGTTCGTACCGACCTACATCTAGTTCACAGCATCATTCCTCGCCTTCACAGCAGCATCCTCAGTCAGTTTTACCTGTCGGTAATGTTAACTATAGTGCTTCATCTGCAGCTATTCCTGGATCCACTAGCTTTGCAATACCTGCCCCACGTTCGCAAATTACAAATACTTCGATTCCTCCTCCACCATTTTTTAATTCTCAAATACCACCACCATCCCCTCTTGCTCATCGCGCTGCAATTCCTGTGACTCATTCTACAACGTGAGTTTTTTTTTTTTTTCACAATTTTAGTGAATGAATCTTTTAAAATTATAAAGAGAGGATTGTATCGTTTTTTTTTACCTTCTTAACTCCATAGTTATATTGAGTATTGTTGTTCACAAATATTCAAAAAAAAAAAAACAAGCTTGATTTTTAGTTTGATTTCATGGTAAAATAGTTTTCGTCCATTTTCTTCACAAAGTCACAAAAATACCATGAAAAAATTGCCATGTATATGAAAATGAACATGCCAATCCTTGTGGAAACTTGGATAAATTTTTACTAGTAAAACAAAGACATAATTTTTAGCAGACAACATCATTTCCAGCTAAATTACGCTGCATTAAATGCATATTAAAAGTGTAGATGCTAAAAAATTACTCCAAATTCTTTTTTTTTGCTCAAATAATTAACTACAGGAATTTGTCTTGGCAGTCACTTGCGTTTGGTGGGCAAACACAGGCGAGCAACGTCACAGAAAATACCATGTATCCGCAGTATTCGAGTGCTACACGAGGAAACTGGAATTATAATTGGTAGACGGAAAGGCAAGAAATGAGATTCCTGATCCAATTTTTTACGAGTTAGAAAATTGATGCTTCATTTCTCAAATTCCAAGTTCAGAGTTCGTCTGTAAATTCGGAGCTTCTGACTAGTGCAATCCTTTCATTTATCATAGGCATTTCTGCTCGAAGTACTAAAGTTTCGTCACACGCATCATTTGCTTACTCTTGACAATTGTCTTTGTGATTGAAGTACCAGGCTGTTATTTTGACTCATTGGAGAGGCTGATAAATAGTCAAATGTCAAATTTTAATTTTCATTTATCAGATTTGTGCATTGGTATTTGTGATTTGTGAGTTTGGGCGACAGTATTGTCTGTCATTTAAGTTTTTAGGATGTTACTATTCATTTCTTTAATTTCTTCCTCAAGTATTCCTTTTCAATTATTTCAGAATTTCTTATTTTTATTGTGGAATTAATCAAGATATGAAATAGTAAAAAATGATTACATACTCTTCATAAATTTGTATGTTTCTATTTTTTTTTTTGACAGCGAGCCTTTCTTCCATAACATTTGGTTCTGTCTTCACTCATTAATGGGTCATACTCACATCGAATAACAAAGTTGTAGAACGCTGTTAATATTGAATTGGTATTTAGAATTGCCGTCTTCCTACTTTTTCAGATGACAGTGTTAATTTCAGTCTCTCCATGAATTTTTATCTATGTTGTCAATATATTTCAGGCCTTTTTTGTTAATATATTCCATCTTGTTTATCAGAAAATTTTATTCTTATTTGTTTCATCGGTCGGATTTTCTTTTGATACTACTTTGCGTAGTTCTCTCAATCTGCTCACCTATTTTCGTTTAACGGATAATTAACATTCATTTGCTTTCTTAACTAGCTTATCGATGAAGAAGTTTGCGCCATGATCTGACGGAATATACCGCATGATGGTTCATTTTCCCTGCTCTTTTAATTTTTGAATTCATTGACGAGAAAGCTATTCCTGACAGGTTTGTCTCAAGTAGTTTATGTGGAATAAAAGTTATTTGTTTTGGTATCATTTTCATGAAGTATTAAAAGAAATCGCGTATTTTATTCAGTCCAAAGTGGTATACAGAAAGCAGGGTATGATTGTGGGCATTGAGCGGTCATACATGAGTAGTGGAAAGGAGTTCAGAATGCTGCTACATAGCAACTGTTAGGGAAAAAAATGGTTTTTAATTGAGCTAGACTGTTATTTGTTCTAACGCGAGAAATAACGTCATGCGTTTATCTGATTATACTTCGAGGTAAACCAAGCAGGAGCTGAGTATGTCGCACAGATTTCCCAAATCAATGACTGATATTGCAGGCAGTTCTAAATAGTATTAGAGTGTTGTGAAGGCGTTATAAGGTGAGAGAAACCATCGGGGTGGAAGACAAGCATGGGACCAGAACGTAAGCTAGTAAGTTTCCACGAAACCCACAAAACGGGCTTGATCTGTTTTGGAACTTGGTCGGTAAAGATCTAGAGAGGACCAATAAGTGTATGAAGGGGATGAATCTCATATTTGCTCTTAAACGTAATATGAAGTTTTAAGTACATTCATAGATCCTGTAAGAAAACGAAAGGAAGTAAAACCGTTTACGAAAGTAAAATTAGAGGTTATGAGTCCCAATGTGCATTCAAAATCCAAAACACCGGATTCGAGCTCTTCAAAAGATGCTTCCTATATAACTCTGGTAGAAGAACAGCTGATCAACTACAGTGTAGGGACAGAAAAAATTAGGGAGGTTTAATGTGCAATGTGGAGCTTGGGAATCGAGATCATAACATTCTGCACAACGAATATTTGAAAGAAATCGTTTCTGATTATGAACCGCATGATACTTTCCATCTGAAACCGAGTTTGGAAATGTAGTTTTCTACTGCCTAATTGGAAGCCGGCAATCCCTGAAGTCTACAAGTCATTCCAATCTTCATTAAGAAGTACACCTCATATTGAGGTCTGTATAAGATAATAAAACGGCTCCTCAGATGGGGAGAAACGATACTCATGATTCTACAAAGGACCCGATTCAAGAAAGTGTGCTAAACAAAGGTAGAGACTTGAAGGCAATAATTTATATGTCGAGCTTTTTTTATAAGTTGACAACAAAGTGCATGGCACGAGTCATACAATTGGATGTTGCCATGAGAAAACTGCTTGCAGACAACAATGTTGGCGAGGTATAAGGTGCAAAAGATCAGGCAATCTTGAACTTGGCGATATGGAGAGAGCATGGAAATCAGTTATTCACCACGTGGTATGACGTTAAAAAAGCGTTCGATTCGGTGAATCACAAGTATCTGATTAAATGCATTGAAAGGCTAAATATGCCTGCGTGGATCAGTAGGTTTCTGAAAGGTTCTACATCCAGATGGGTAGTTGTACTAGAAAGCAATGGAGAAACTATAATGAAGACGAAAACACAACGAGGAATTCTGCGTTTCCCTATTCATTTTGTGCATAGACTCGTTGAGCCGTAGGCTGGATATGAGTTTTCCAAAGTCGACGATTTGCCCGAACAAGCAATGCGTGTAAACAAACCATTTATTACTTGAGGATGATTTCAACCTCCTTGCTACCAACGAGGATATCATGAGAGCTATGGCGAAGAACTTCAGAGGTTCTTTGAAATGGTAGAGTTAGAGGTGAATCAGTAAAGTCAGCCACTAATACTGAGGTCCATTATAGTTTCTCCATTATTTTTCGTGCCCATCTTGATGTGATGGGTTCCAGAAATCTGCTGATCCACGATCGCATATTAAGCCTGTAAATGCATTTAATCAGATAGATAGATACTCGTGATTAACTGAATTTTTTAAATGTCATACCACGTTGTATATATCCGGTTCCCATCTGCATGTCTCCAGGTCGAACAATGCCTGATCTTTCGCACCTTGAACCTCGCTAATTGGCTGTCAAGAAGTTTTCTCGTGGCAACATCTAACTGCTTAACACGCATCACTCATTTCGTTGTCAACTTATAATGGTCCGGCGTACAAGTTATTGCCCTGAAGTCGCTGACTTTATTTGGAACACCTCTTGGAATCAGGTAGGTAGTTCCTTCGACTTCAAAGGGGAACGTATCATGCACTTCATGTTTTGGAACGAATTTTTCCAGATATTCGTTTGATGGATGTCATCATCCTTTTCCATTTCCGAGTTCCACATGATATTTCAAAAATCCTTGATTTCCTCTTTTGCTACAATATGGTTGACAGGCTGTTTTGTGGTCAGTTTTCTATAGAACCGTCTTCTGAACAGCTTGAATTTGGCGTTTTTAGGCTTGAATGCACACCTGGTCTCATAACTTTTAATTTTACTGTAGACCCTCACACGTTCTGCTGGCATGCTTAACGCTTTATGACAGTCACCCTTAAGAGCAAGTATGAGATTCATCTTCCTCATACTTGGCCTCCTTTAAGTCTTTACCTCCAAGTTTTTCACCGGCCAAAGTCCTTCTATGAGGGATTTGTGGAAATTTAACAAGCTTATCTTTTTTTCTATGCTTGCCCTCCACCCCGATGGCTTCTCTCGCTTCGTCGTG